GCCGAGGGCGCCGAGGCGGGGGTCCCGCGACCCCTGCTCAGCTGCGCGCAGGCGCTGGACGACGACCTGCAGCGCGAGGCCCACACGGTGACTGCGCACCTGACCTCCAAGGTGGGGGGGGGTCCCGGGGCGGGGCGAGGGCCGTGTCGCCGCCGCCTTGCTGAGCGGCCCCTTTCCCCAGATGGTGGGCGACGTCCGGAAGTACGTGCAGCATGTCAGCCTGTCGCCCGACTCCATCCAGAACGACGAGGTGCGGCCGGGCTGGGCCGGGGGCCGGGGGCCGGGGCGGGTGCTGGGGCCGAGGAGGGCGCGCCCTGAGCAGCCCTTCCGCAGGCCGTCGCCCCGCTCATGAAGTACCTGGACGAGAAGCTGGCCCTGCTGAACGCCTCCCTGGTGAAGGGGAACCTGGACAGGTAGTCCCGGAACGCGGGAGGGGAGCGGGCCGGCGCGGGACGCTCACGGACGCGGGGTCCCCGCAGGGTGCTGGAGGCCCTGTGGGAGCTGCTGCTGCAGGCGATCCTGCAGGCGCTGGGCGCCGACCGCGACGTCTCGGCTGACTTCTACGGCCGCTTCCACTTCGCGCTGCAGGTAAGGCCTTCCCCCCCGCCCCGCGTTCCCTGCGGCCTGCGGGGGCCACGGCGCTCGGGCGCTTCCTATGCTGGCGCCGGACCCCGCCTGGGCGCTGTCTGGACCAGGCGCCCGTCTTTTCCCAAGCGTCGCGGGGGATCCTGAGAAGCCCTGGAACGTCTCCACCCGGTCGGTCCCCTGGCCCGGCTGCCCCGTTACAGCTCTCACTCCTGTCCCCGCCGCAGGCCCTGGTGAGCTGCTTCCACGCCGAGGGCCAGGGGCTGCCTCTGGAGAGCCTGAGAGACGCCAGCTACAAGGTGAGCCCTGCGAGGCGTGGCACCCGACGACCCGCGCGCCCGCTAGTCCCCGCTCTCCCGGAAGAAGCGGGCCGTGACGGCGCGAGCCCGTCGGGCGTCCCCAGCGCACCCACCCGCCGCCCCGTGCTCTCCGCAGAGGCTGGAGGAGGAGCTGCGCCTGCACAGGTGCTCCACTCGCGAGTGCATCGACCAGTTCTACCTGGACAAGCTCAAGCAGGTGGGGCTGCCCCGGTGCGCGCAGGCGGCCTGCCGCCGGGAGTGCGCGCCGCGGGAGCCCCGGGCTCGGTTGTCTGCCCTTTCCGCAGAGGCCCATGGAGCAGAACAGGTTCGGGCGCCTGAGCGTCCGCTGCTACTACGAGGCGGCCGAGCAGCGGCTGGCGGTGGAGGTGCTGCACGCTGCCGACCTGCTGCCGCTGGACGCCAACGGTGCGCGCGTGCGCGCTAGGCGCGGAGCGGGGCGGGGCCGG